TCAACGGCAATAAATTCTACTGAAAGATCATTTTTTTCTTTCAAAAAACATCGATGGATCTTCTCCGACCTCGCAAATAAAATCCATGAAAATTAGTAGTACATGATAAATACAGAGGTTCTAAATAATTAGAACAAATTCACAATGTTTCATTTGTTGCACTTAAAAGTACAACACAGCTAATGCTATTAGAGGCATAGGTATAACTCACGTGAAAACAAAAATTAATTTTGTAACTTTTTATGGAAAAAACAGAAAGAGATAAATAAGTCGAAATTTGTTTCATTGTAAAAATTATATTTTTTTTCTTTCCCTGTTATTTAAATCTTATTAAAAAATAATTAAAAATAATATGTCACCATAAATATTTTTATAAATATTGTTTTTAAAAAACATGGTTTGCGATAATTACTATCGCTTTCACAAAACTCATTTGAAAGCAAAAACGACACATAAAATTGGAACATAAATCCAGTATCTGACGTAGCTGTTTTTCGAAAAATTATATTTGGACAAAATGGTAAGTATTCAAAGTTAAATATCGATTTTTACATTCATCCATTCTTCAAGGCTATAAAATAAATTTTCTGCAGAAGTAGATGCTTTTAGGAAGTTGCTTTATGATTGTCTCCAATAAATGCTTTCTTTTTTCATACTTAGTGTGCGCATGTCCACCTGACTTGTACTTTCGTCTTCGGTAATGACATATGCGTATGCATACATGTACTTACTGTTGAATTATTCCGTTTTCCCTAGAAAACACAATAGAAATCTAAGGAATAAATGAATAATTCCAATCGAAATCCATTCCGATTTGTTCCATGATAGGTCCTCAGTGCTCGGAATTATAGTTGCACATTTCGAGCCGATTCCTGAGACGTTACTATCCTTCACTATATCACTCGAGACTCGGCGGCTAAACCGCCGCTTACGTAAAGCCTTAAAAGCACAGACAATAGGAACAGGGAATAAGAGATTTCAACTTGTCAGAAAGCGACCATCTGGTATACAGGGTTTCTGATAGGCTGAAATTTGTTATTTCTGGTTCCTATTGCCTGTGTTTTTCATTGTTTTCAGCTTGACGCTGTACGTCAGGAGGAAGTGTCGCGATACAAAAAGTATACTGGAAGCATACCTTCTGGCAAATATCATTAAAATATTTTTCTTCCTACGTGATTTTTATTTTAATAATTAAATTTTGTATTATTAACATATTATGTGTATATTCTGTAATAATATAATAAGCAATTATGACAATACGACAATTACAATATGGACAATAGCTTTCCACATCACCTTTGAGGTACTATTGTTGATGCGTTTTTTTTTAAGTGGTTTCCCCAGTAGGCCTATTCCACTAAAAGATGACGAAGAAGCTGATCAAATATGTAGTTCAACAGAAAAATATTCTCTAATGTAAAATATTTATAAAAATGTATAAAGGTAAAACAAAAACAATTAATTTCCTTGAAAATATTAATTTGACCTTCCAGATTTGCACGATTCCACTAGGGATGGTATATCCAGAGATTTTAGAAGTGGTTCACATTATCGAGGATAACGATGCATCGTTTAAAGAAGTTTTTCCATTTTCATGTGTAACTTATACAGCTCCGAATGGTAGTGGAGAAATTGCTAACGAAATCGATCTGAAATGTACAGATCTTTGCGAGCACTGTCGTATGCTATGTGAATTCTATACATAAGCGGCCGATTCGTGCATGCGCCGTGTTATCGCATGATCTTGCGTGATCTTGTTGAGTGTTATATTAGAGTTGGAAATTAAAGTATGTGTATTATACAAAGTTTGTATAAAACAAAATTTAACTTTAACTAAAATTAATGTTATTCGTTATTCATTATTACTTCTTATTATTCCTTATTTTAAATTTAAGTCAAAATGAATTATAAACACGCTTCTGGTTCTGAAAAATTCTAGAAGAGGAAAAAAACAATTGCCGAAAATAACAAACTTTTTTATGACAAAGGATAATGAAATACATGATAAAAGTGTAGTAGAAAAAGGCTGAAGCGAACAGATGATTCACGAAATCAGTAAATATTTATTAGAAAATCCTGATTATCGTTTTATATCTGTGTCGAGTGAAGTACATGAATTTACCGAGATTGATATTAATAGTAATATTCAAGAGGAAAAGAAGTGTGAGTCAACAATAATAGTAAGACAAGAACTTGATAAATTACTTGATGCTTTCAGATGAAATTAAATCAGCAAAATATTTTTCAATTATAGTTGATTCCGGACATAAGCCATTATGAGCAATTAACTTTATATTATAAAGTATGTACATGAAGGGCAAATAGTAGAAAGATTTATGGGATTTCTTAAAATTGAAAAACATACTGCCGAATACCTACAAGAGATTGTCTTAAACAATTTGGACTTGACATTGAAAATTGTTATGATCAAAGCTATGACAATGTCGCTAACATGTCAAGAAAATACAATGGTTTGCAAGCAAGAATAAGAACTTGTATCTCCCACAGCTGTTTATATATCCTGTATAAATTCTCTTAATTTGCTTTTTAATTTTACCTGTGAGTCTTGTTCCCAAACCATTGACTATTTTAACTTAATTCAAAATATATTAGGTGTTGGAATTAATTCGTAGCGTTTTACAAGTGATGGGAAGTACTTTCATTAATGTATTTTTTAATGCTCATGTGAAATAAATAACATTCTTTCATTAAAAAACGCTACGAATTAATTCCAACACCTAATATATACATTTTTTTTGCGTCGACACATAGATGGCAGAAATTAAAAGAAAATTGTAGTCCCAAAAAAATTATAAGAAATAATTTTAGAAGAAATAAGATAAGAATTAGAATTTGTTACTAACCGGTAAGTTTAAATTATTGTATAACTAAATTGTCAAGCAAGAATTGTTAAGAAAACGAGAATACACAATATTTTTTTAGGAATAATGCCATATCTCCTATGGAACAATTATTATTAACATTTCGCATGTATGCTACTGGATCATTCTTTATAACAATGGATGATTTTTCTGGTATAAGCACAACATCCGCGCATTATGTGATTCATAGAGTCAATACAATTATTACCCCGTTATATCAAGTTTCCAAGTCACCGAACAAGAAATAAGAAAAAAACAATTAGATTTTTATAATATTGCTCGCTTTTCAAGGGTCATTGGCTGTATAGATTGTACACATGTACGTGTCCAATCTTTTGGTAAATCATTATCAAGAGGATAAATTATTTTAATTATTTTATCTAAAAAATAATTTATTATTATATTATATTTATATTTTGATTATTGTAGGTGGAGAAAGAACTATTCCGCAACAGAAAAGTTACTTTTCTTTAAATGTTCAAACAGTATGTAATAGCAATTTAGAGCTAATGAATGTAGTTGCTCGTTGGCAAGAATCAGTTCACGATAGCATTATTTTTAATAATAATCACTTGCGAGTAAACTTTGAAGATGGAGCATATGGCAATGGTTTATTATTAGGAGACTCTGCTTACCCTTCAAAGTAGTATCTTGTAACTCCGTTGCTGAATCCGCAAACTGCAGAACGACTTTACAAGTCGCATATTCGTACACGAAATAAAATAGAATGCTTGTTCGGTATCTGGAAAAAAGGTTTCCAATTCTAGTACTAGGGATGCGGTACCATTTACACAGAATAATCCCTATCATTGTCGCCACAGCAGTACTTCATAATATTGCTTGAAGGAATAATGATGCCAGATGTCCAAAGTTGGATTTACCCGTACCATGGAACAATATGTTAGCAAGATGTAACATCACCAAGAATTGATAACGACGAAATTAACGGCGCAGCCGTCACTCGGACAGAAATAATTCACAACTACTTTGCTAAGTATATTAGCATAAGTTTTTATATAAAAGTAACGTTTTGTCTGTAGATTATATATATATTAATGTACAATTATATTATATGTATATGTGTGTGTAATTATATATTAATATAAATAATGTACATATATAAATTATTTAATGTTATATATAAGAAATATATCTATCTTTTCAGCTTATTATAATCAAATGTCAAATTTGTATCCGGAAAAATATTGGAAATAAAATTCTAAATAAATAATGAGTTAATAGATAAATGTTCATGTGTGTATTTATGTGTACGTGTACAAAAGAAGAGAATTTAATAAAAAGCTACGAACTACATTATGTAATTTAGTTTATTATAAAATATATATTTAACTCAAATATACATTTTGTTGTGTTTATATGAATAAAATAAACAAGAAAATCTGATATATTGTTGGACAAGAATTTTAATATCTTTGAAAGATAGGATAAGAAAGATCTCAGATTTCTTATTGGAAGAATCGAAAGGTTGTGGGATTAAAGACAAATAAGAAGACAATATATTTTTATGTATAATTCACCAGACAATGTTTATTAAGATGATCTCGCAACTCCCAAGTACAAAGTGCTCACTGAGCAATATTGCATTTCTTGCATGTAGTAGAGTACATTTTATCCATATTTTTCGTTTTTTTCCACTAGAAACAACAACTGTGTTTGTATTCTTCTCATTTTTAAATATTGTACATAACGGTATCATATATAATATTTTTAAACATTTATTGTTTAACATAGAATAATAAATATTATTATATCACAAAAACAGGCAGATTTTTCCAGAAACATTTTATTTTTTAAACTAAAATATGTAATTATTAGAATAACGTTGAATATATTTTTTTTCTTATTTTTCTTAAAATATTTTAAAATATTGGCAGAACATGTTTTTAAGAAAAACTTTGTATTTTATGGAAAAAATTATAAATTAATATTTTGAAACCCTAATGTGTTGTGCAAACAAAATTAAGTAAATACTTTTTTAATGATTTCAAATTGTTATAAAATAGATATATGAAGTGCATTAATCTGAGTCTTTTATATGAAAAACTTAAAATAGAAATTAAACATTAAAATGTAACTTTTGGTTTGCAACATGTTTTCTTTTAACTCCAGCTCTTTCTCCAATATTTGTACTTCCATTATACTTCCTGCCTCTCTTTCTCTAATTGCATTTTTAATATTTTTATTTCAATTTCACTTTTCGCCTTTAAATCTTCTATCATAAATTGCACCAACTCAATTTTTAAATCCTTTAATATATTATATTGTGATATTTTCGAAGTTATAGACTCTTGTCTCTTATACTGTTTGCGTTCCTTATTACCCAAATTGTCATAAAGTTTTCTTTTTTGAAGTGGTCTACTTCTATTATTCATTAGTATTCCTATTGCGGACATTTTATGAAGTACATATTTGATACATACATAAATATATTATATGTTTTTCTTATGATGACATCCACTCAATAGTATATTTTACCTGTTATATTATCATAGTAAAATTGTTAGTTATACCATCAACTGAAGGTTTAATAATTTTTCGTTACACATAATTTCTAGAAGCATCCGATTTTGATTTATAAGATCCTCCATCTAAAAATTAGAATATAGGATTGCATATACATTATTTTAAAATATATTTTTGCAAATTATTAATTTAAAAATATTTACCTGTTTCATACAGCTGCATCAGCAAAAAATTTTCTTGTCTTCTTTTTCAAATTTTCTCAACAATTTTTCAAAATTTCAGAACTTCAACATTCGCCAGAAGATCTACTATTAAATGATTGTTCTATAATTTTCCAACATTTATCTTTATCTTTTAAGGTTACTGTATCAGATTTCTGATTTTCAAGAACGCAAACTTCTTTTTTCCTGTCTAATATTAGTAATTTCAGATAATGGATTGACATTATCCAATGTAAGTATTAGAATTACCCAAGGTTTATCACTGAACTGTTTATCCATAATCTAGAATATTTAAAAAAAATAATAATATTCATGGTTTATTAAAAACATAAGTATAGGTGAGTTTTTTATTTTATCAATTAATCAATCATATTCTGTGCAAAATGCAACGTTGTTAAAAACTGTATTTGTACATAATTCGAGTAATCCATTGATGAATTAAAAAATTTGCCTAACATATATAAAATGGATAATTGTATACTTACATCAAAATATTGCCATCTTCTAGTATTGTTACCGCTCTTTGCATTGTGATCTTTTATGCTCTTATAAGTATTCTTCGTGCCTGCCATTTCACTCTGAGATTGCAATTTTCACCTAGACTGAATCTGAAACAACAATATAAAGAATTTTAATGCTATTAACCATCATTCTTAACATAGTGAGTACCTGAAATATCTTATAATTAAACATTTGGAATTACCTTTCTGTGCTTGTCTCTAATGAAACACTTTTCGGCACAAAGACTCCATCGTTGATTACGCTTATTTTATCTTTATTCTTTTATCCTATTTTATCCTTATTCGCTTATTTTTATTTTCTGCATTTAGCATGTATACATGCAATTAAGTGTATACATGCAATTTGGTGACCACAGTGTCCCACTTGCAATACGCATCTTTTTCTGCATAGTGATATAATAGTGATATATGGTCTACTATTACAACATTCTTTGACCACTGTATTTTCATCAATTCATTGTCAATTAACTTCTGTTAATAACTTCTGTAATTAACTTCTGTAATTAACTTCTGTGATAGTCTTCTGTGATAGTAGTTCTGTGGATAGAATCATGATACTTTTCTACACACAATTACTGTATGCTGCAGAAAGAACTTTGTTTTTTTCATTCACAGAAAATTCACATACAATATATTTGCACAATGATACTTTCATTTTTGGTCGCTGATGTAATCTGGTCGTATCAGATTTTAACAGTCATGAATATAAAAATAACTAAGAACGAAACGTGAACCCCTAAAATCGAACTTCAGATGTTTCCGCTGTAATCGACATAGGTTGCGGTCAAGTCACTAGAGAGCCTATAATCAGAGTGGCGCCATACGGGTATCACTTGTGATCGGTCCGCCATGTTTTAGCCATTCCCTCCAGTTTTTTAAACGCATTATTTTCTAAATTTTGAATTCATGCTAAAAAATGTTCAAAAATTTTTAATTGTGACAATTAAAAAATGATAATAAATAAATATTGTATATAAAATAATTTCATTTATTTTATACTTTTTTTCTTTTTTACAAAGTATTCGAAAATTGTTGGCACTGTATTTGATTTTAATTTCTTTTTATTATCCATTCTCTGTTACCACATTTTAAGAGCAAAATGCATCTGTAATAATATAAAAGAAATCAAAAATTCAGAAAAATATTATATATGTATATACCATTTCATAAAATATTATATATTAAATATTGTAATTATCACATTATTTGATTTAGACTCACAATGCAATGATAATTGAAAAGATTACAACAAAAAGAGAAAGAATTAAATTCGTAACCAATGTGATGACTATACATATACTTAGTGCCAAGATATTACCGTGTCTTCAGATATTATAATTAATCTGTGTATATTTTATGTTACAGAGAAACGATGGCGGTATATGTAAAAAGAAAGGAATATAAGTCGTTCCTTCCAAATTTTGAATTTCGATTGGTCGATTCCCTTATGCACTATGCATTATGCGTTATGCATGTCTGTGCTGCTATAACATACCAACTCACATCGACTTAGAGATACTAAAAGGAGAGATCGGCCAATGCGACTCGATCGTGATTGGCTCTGCCATGATGTTGTGAAACCGGATGTGAGAGTGAAAGAAGTGAATGTGAGAGTGAGAGAAGCGTCGTCTGCTTACGATTAAGTTGTTACAAAAATAATTTAACAGACGAGTCTTTTACAGTAAGTTTAAAATCATCAATGAAAATGCACTAGAACTTTTGGTAAAATATATATATAAATATATACATAAAAATTCATTTATAAATACATATATACATTTTATGTGTAAATTAACCTAAAAGTGCTATTATGAAAATATATTTGAACATGTTTTAGTTTTGAAAATGACAAATTGCTGTGCGGATTATTGCGAATTATGAATCTTTTCTTGTTTAACACACTTTATTTTTCTCTTTCTATAGATATTTTCTAGTCATCCCTTTCACCATGTCAATACTATGATGGCTCCTGACTTTAAAGAATACACCACACTGACCATAATACTATAAGAATACAAAGTGTACTATTGCGCATAATGGCGATAGCAATATTGGAAACAACCAATCAAATTCTGGCCTTTATGTACTTTCCTCTGTATAATAGCGCATATTGGAATGACCAATCAAATTTTGGCCTCAAATTTGCTTTTTTACTACACATCGGGAATGTTACATGTTGTCTTCTTACATCATACTACTGTCCTCCTTCTCCTGAAACATAATTCGACCAATAAGACAAGAGAGTTCCGAGCCCATTTAGCTATCTTATTCTTTCTAGGTCCGTCAAGACGAAAGATCAAAGAGATTCGCCGCATGCTCCGTCCAATACTATATGAGTGTCGAATCATCACTATGAATTCTTCGAAGCATTTGATTAACCAATCGGAAGAAAGAATTTTACTAATTGACTAATCAAAAAATACTTCAAAGCAGGGATTATTTACGTGAAATCTACGTGATGTTTACATGATCTTTTTGTTTGTAGACAATGTAGACTATGTAAACTATAAAAATCTATAGTGTACGTAATACAAACTATAGATTTTCAGTACTCACAGTGAATAACGGAACGCATCTCATGTAGATTATAGCTATCTCATATAGCTATTGTAAATTATGTGTATCACCAATATCAGAGAGAAACCTGAGAATGGAATAAAATAATCTATGAAATATCCAAAAACATCCAGGAATAGGTTAAAGATACTGCAACATTTTCAGGATATTCCTGTGATGTATTATAAACATTTCGACTGTGAGCACAATACATTTTTAATATAAGTAAATTATATATGGATAATCCTTATAAAAAATAAATTATATAAAATTTTCGTTTCATTATATATAATATATTAATAGATTTAATTACGAGATTCAAAATATAATCATAGACTTTTTTTACTCAAATGATAGTTTTTTTACTTAAACATTAAATTAAATGTATTTATTAAATCAATAAATTATGCAGACTCTAAAGTTTAAATTCTTTAGGAAACGTTTGTAAATTAATCAAGATTTTATAAGGATTAAATTAAGGAAAGTATAATAATTCTTACTTTTTATATTATATATTTTACATATGTATACAATATAAACACCGTATACAATTCTATTTTCTAGGCACATTACAATATCAATTTCTGAGATCTGGACAACTTTAAATCATGAAGTAAATCATGGCAAAAAAGATAATTTTATACTGAAATAAAAATTTATTTGCAATAAATATTTCTTAGTTATTAGTCGATAAATGTTATATTTTAAATAGATTTCAAATTATTTAAAAATCTAAAATCTAAACTTCCTTAATTTCCTTCTAAGTTTGATTTATAAGTAATGTTATAATTATATGAACACTGTACACTTTACAAAAAACGGTACAAAAATTGAATATGAATTTCAACAATTCTTTCGATACATTATAAAATGTTGTATTTAGCTTAAAATATTCAACATTTTTGTTTTATTATTGTTTATATTAGGAATTACTTCAACACTTACAAGAGTTAATATTTTGTATAAAAGAAAAACAAGTTACAGCTGCGTTTCCTCAATTAAAAATTTTTACCAGAATCTTACATTTTCACTCTCTAGTTGTTTACGATTTTGTGAGACGCAGCTATCTCAAATGTTTGATCTTGCGTCGAGACACTTAATAATTGGTATGGTTGTCTTCAAAAAATTATAAACCAAATATTTCTGAAGAACTAATAAAATACGAATCAAACATGGTAAAGCAAGAATTTCAGAAAGGCAAAAAGCTTGTTTTTAATGTTACGTTTGACGAGATGAACATCCATAAATGGAAATATTGCGATAAAAAAGCTCACAAATGGAAAGATGTTGTCGATTTAGGTAGACAGTTGAACGAAGTTAACAATAATAACCAACTTAGAGATAGCTCCTAAAACATTGATTTTTATGCTAATCTGCATTAATGGGTCGTTTAAAACATCAATTGTACTTGTTCGTTTGAAATTGGCATTCTGTATGGCAAAGGAGCAGATGATGATCATACCGATGAAGGTGTAAATCTCAGCATTAGTGAAGGTGTTGTTTCCGGTGTTAAGTGCACAGATGACTAAAAGAAGTTAAATATAAATGTCATTGACTCTCAGTATTTAAAATATGAAAATTTTAAAATTATCGGGTGAGTGAGAGTGGTTTGCAGTAATTTCGCTTTATTTTTTTAACATTTCAACTCAATTCGAGCCATTTTCAGCGATGTATAATCATTATATGTTTCAAACGGCCATTGTTGTGTGCAACTATGAAATTCATGTAAGCATTTAAGGAAATATACGAACCTGTATAAAAGATTACACAATTATTATTGCGGAACTATTCTTGTCCGATAATTTTAAAATTTTCATACTTTATAAATGTCATTGTTGTATTATACTTTTTAAAGTCTTACTATTACAAAAATTACTTATGAATGAAGATTGATTTGCATTAGATATTTCACTGTACAAACGAGTTTCTTTCATTATGTTCATATTGTGCTAACGATGGAGTGGATTGTTGTATCTGTGAAAACGATGATGGCTAAAAAGAAGTGAGTAGTAAGTTGGTTTCCTTTTAGGAGACTCACTGAACACAAGTATCTATTTTATTAGCACTTTTTATTTGCTAACTCAACCTGACTTCGAGTCGATGCTTTAGAATAACAGATAAATCTATGTATAAACAATAATCATCAGTAGTTCTACATTAAGTAAATCAGTTTTGAAGTAAATAATATTTATTTTAAAGTAAATCATTACAAGTTATAAAAGTTATAAAGTAAATCATGTTTGTTAACATCATAAAATATCATTATTTCTTTGTTTTTTAATCGAAGCAAGCATCTATTGTTTCCTTTGCACTCTTAAAGAAGACCGCAACATGTACGTAAAGCGACTAGTACATGAAAATATTTATTTTTTTATAATTATTTGTATTTATCTTTTGCATGTGTATTCAGAAAAAAAAAATTCTTTCTCTTAATTAAATGAAAATAAATAATTTAATTCCGTCTGTTTCGGATATCTTTTATAAACGATACAGCCGATTATTATACCTTTCAAATTTTATGCATAAGATAAGTAGCAAGATTATCCAACTAACATGCACAAATGTGACAGTTGATTTTCTGGATAAAATTTATCGAAAGGTGGAACAGCCTTTAAACTATTTCTTATATTATCATCAGTCTGCAACATTAACTATCATTATTATCACAGATATGCATTTTACTCACGTTTATTAATCTCAACTTACATTTATGAAGAAAATAAAACAATTCAGAACGATTAATTTTTGCTTTATGAAGAGATACAATGACAAATTATATATCAATATATTTATAGTATTCCTTTGTACGTACATACTTTAATCTACGCTAAAAATTAATGGAAAAAAATATTTTGACTGTTTCATTATGTAGTTGCTTCAAACTAGAAAAAATGAATTCTTCGTCCAAATTAACCAAAATATTTCTCACCAATAAACGAGAATTAAATATTTCGCCTCAGTTTAATATAAGTCAATTTTAATACATGCAATAATTAATTTAATAATATTAATTGAAGAATTTTATGAAGATGTTAACAAAATATTTTTAATTATAATTAGGCATTGAATATTTGAAACTGTGTCGAGGACCGCAAAACACTGTATTTAATTAACTTAATCTGCTGATGAGTTTCATAAATCATGTTATTTCATAACTATACTAGAGAATATATTTTTTATCTCACAATTATTTAAGGAGTAAGTATTTACAAGAATATTATTTGAATAAAATAAAGTCTTATAATATGTGAAGAAATAAAGATCATTAATAAAGATCATCTTCATATAGGGTGTTTGATAAGTTATGATAAAACTCTCGCAGGAGTAGAACGGACTAAACTAATTGTAAGTCGAAAAGTCCTGTACTATTTTACAATTTTCGCAATAGTTAACAAGATATTAAATATTAAAAATTGCCGAATATTATTTATCAATAATACTATTTTATCAATTTTACTAAAGTACTTTACAGAAAAATAACAAGTACAAAAATTGTTTATTTTCTTATGGTAAAGTTCCGAGATTTTTTCAGAATTTTTTAATACCAGATTTCCTCATGTTGGTAGAAATAATTGCCATTATATAAAAAATGCAGTATAAAGGAATTGACAAAAAATTCTGAAAAAATTTTTAGAATTCTATAAGAAGAAAATAAATAATTTTTGTCTCTTGTTATTTTCCTGTAAAGTTGATAGTACTTGAATAAAAAATTATTGAAAACCAATATTCGATAATTTTTAGTAATTAGTATTCTGTCCAAAATGAAAAATAGTTCCGGTGAATTAACACAAAAAATCAAAAATAAGCAATTTGGAGTGCGAACTTCATAAAATGCAGAAAAATTGCAATATCTCCTAAACCATTAGTTCCTGGCGCTTTAAATGATAATTGAAGTTCTATTCAGAAGTGTTATCAGAAATGCCGTAACGTTTAAAAATTTGTTGTCCCTTAGATGTGAGAATCAAACATTCAAAAAATTGCCATATTTCTTAAACCGTTGATGGATCCAGGACTGTCAACAGAGTTGCCAGAACTTCACCCTTCGGGTGTTGAAAAATTTGTAACACCTGATACAAGAAAATTTGTTAAAAGTTCCGGCAAATCTGTCGACAGGATCGATCTAGTTTTGGGTAGCATCCAACGAGTTCTAACAAAAGTTATTAACGCTCGAAGCAGTAAGCTCAATAGTTTAAAAGATATCGTAATTTTTCGTATGTCGGATTGAAAAATTTCTAATATCCTATTAGAAATGTTTCGTAAAAAAACTGATTTATTTAAAGTTAAACGGAACTAATAATTTGTGGGCCGATATTCATAGTCGGTTCTTATTTCAAGATTGTTTTAAATAATTTCTTAAGACGCTAATGCGGCCCTCTGATTAGTTCATGACACCTCAAGGCTGAACTTAAGACAGTCTTAAATATAAGATCTGACTATGAATACCGACCGTGCTCTCGTAACTTATCGCTAACTGACTAATTTAAGATAGATGCGCGCGCCCTCGCATTATGGCGTAGTCATAGAGTAAGAGAAATAAAAAGTCGTAACTGTAAACGAATGCATCACAATACACGCGCGGAGATGCTCACAGAGGAGCCTAGATAAATTAATAGTAATTTAAAAAAAGAAAAGAAGAAAACAAATAAAGTACGATGATTTACATATAAAATCAAACATACACCATCCACTAAGATTAAAAGTAATCTTCCTCATTCTTATTGATAACAACTTGCATAACTTATTAATAGCGTGTTTCATGCCATTAGCCGTTTTAACTGGTACTATCGCGGACGAGATTATCATGTTCGCGTTGCAATTCGACGATTCTACCTAATTTTTATTGATATGGAAACGAGCATTTTTCGCGGAAGATAACTAAGTTGTCGATTTGCAAATTTCGAACATCTTTCCATTTGAAGCGATCCTGGAAAGAGAGCTGACGTGTTCTGCCGCCTTCAAAAGTCTTGTAAAGTATGTTAGTTACAACGGCTTAATCGATGAAAATTCATATCATGGAGATCACAACCTCAGATAAATATGTAATAGGTCCTCCAGTAAGGAAATGTCCAGAAGTAAAAGGTTCCATATTGAATGGATCATTACACAAGGCATATAAAGAGCGTAAATTTAGGCAGGCCTCTGCACGAGTGTGGTGCACAATTCTTCAAAAGTGAATAAGGCACTATCATTGCGGTTCTCAACAAATTTTTGCAGGACTTTACCCCGGCCTCTTATAATCCACCGATATGAGGAGAATATGGTGGAATTAAGATCCATTATACTCTCTTCGTAGTCAATTGGTCTTGAAGTGATCCTTTGATCTGTTGCTACGCAAATTTATACATCTCGGCCAGTTCTCCTTGAGCTATCTTGAAATTGGTGGCATTGTGCCTGTAGACAATTCTCTGAGGACAACCTCATCTACCTATAAAACGTCTTAAAAGTAGCTATAAAATGCTTCAAAACTTAAATTACTAACCGAGTGAACTAACTCCAGGTGAACCATTTGCATTGCGAAACAGATGAATAAGGCGATATAGCTCTTATTGGTTTTGCGTCCTCGTTCTTTGCTCAATAATGTAGTAATAAGGTCTGCAAAATCCGCACCACAAGTGAAGAAGGGATGTACAGATGCAACGCTGTCCGCGAGTAAATTGCCCATCAATTGCAGAATTGCATCAAGATGTAGAAGTGTCGTACGCAGGAATGATAAACTTTGCAAACTATGTCTTTGCCGCATAGGAGCCAATATTTCTGACGAATAGCCGCGAGAAGCGCCTGCGGGCCAGAATGAAGAAGATATTTATGCCCTCTTTCGATTAGTAATCTAGTTAATTAATGATGCGAGGGTAGCAGAATGAGATGTCTCTGATTGAAAGTCAAAGATGCCTGGCGTAAACAACTTCCCATTCTAAGCAGATCCTTATCATCCAAGAAGAGATATTAGATTAGCAATTTGCTAGATGTCTTCAAGTTTTTTGACTGACGTAAATTTTGACACGAAATCTTCTTCTAAAAGACCACTTGTGCATTTCTGATTAAGTGCGACCTCGCGATCTCAATTTCCGTTGTGCTAATATGGTCGACTAGTCTCTCGTGTTTATTTCTACAATTAACGACAAAGCGGAAAACGAACGCCAAAAAGCTTTCTATTTTGGATAGATCTGAGATCCAAATTATGAAATATGGAATCTTGTGTTATGATATGATATATAAGATTTTAAGATTTCTTTCTTCGCTTCGGATTTCCTTCAGCTCATAAACTGATACCTTAGACAAATCCGTTTACTATAGTAATTCTATCGTTGGAGAGATATGGACCTTCCCATCACATGCTGTGATTTTGAAGGACACTAGAAAATGTACCTCTTGATAATAAGTTGCAAGATTGTCTTCGCTCCTAATCGCGACCATGCCTCTGGAAGAACGTTGGTAATTTCCAAAACGCGATAAATGACCGTCTACCGTGATACATCATTCTTCATCCAATGTAAGGCCAGAGTGGAATCTATGAATGCAAGAATC